ACATCAACACTTTTAAAATCAGCAGTAACTGGATACATTAAAAAAAAAAAAAGACGGACCACTTTAGTTTTGTCTCGCATGTTTCTCGTCCATACAGCTCTTACGAAAAAAAAAACCCTGTCGTATGAAAGTCTAGGCAATAAAATTCAATGAACTAACTCTCGCGGTGGGCGCCTTCAGTTTGATTTCATTTCAAAAGTGTTTTTTTCCTCCCTCTCTTTATCTTTTCAAATAAACCTAACTAAAATGTTTACCCAGTTTTATACGTTAATCCCACGTAATCCTACCCCCACACGAAGCCTGCGAACTTTCGAGACTTCAAAACAAACGTCTCCAAGCCTGCTTTGTTTAACTTGTATGTTGGTTAATCCGTAATCGTTCGACTTAACTTCAACACGGTGGCCATGTTGTATTTTTTTTTACCTTTTCTTACCTCCCCTGTCACGGAACTACCCGATAATCATCTCCCCTTCTTTTGCCTTTTTTTGCGGCGTTCCGGTGTCGGGGCAATAAATATGCACCGATAAACAAAATATCCGGGCTTCAAGACTCAGGGGACGAAAGAACTGAGGCGGTGTTAGCTCAGACGGAACACCCCGTGTCTATAGCCTTGTCCTAAGTCGTAAATATTTTATCCCGAAATTTAATTATTTTTTAATCGCCTATGTTTGTCGTGGTAATTATCACGACTCCCCCCCCCCCCCTTACAACCACTCTTCTCACTCTATTCCACCCATATAAGAAAAGTCTCCCCCCCCCCCCCACTACACACACACTTTTTTCCACACACAATTAAAACATATCCCGCTCCGAAGGTTTATGACTTTCCTTAACACAACCAACCAATTCGCGGGTGCCTTCAAAACTTTCAATTAAACATCCCCTAGAGATAAGAATCAGTCATATTCCTACTCGGTTTTTTATTACTATTTTACTACTATTTCCCCCCTTCAGAAATTACGACACATCTAAAACTAAATTAATCCCTTGGTCATTCTTCAGCTTTATCAAATCCATTTAACAATTTTTACCAACAAAACACCTATTATTTTGAGTTAAGTGTGGTATACTTTATATTCAATCATGCTTGCTACTTTATTAGGAATTAATCCCATAAGGGAAACGAAGAAATCAACGCTAGTACTTCACAAGAACTGTTGAAGCATGTAAAATATAGAAAAACCTCTTCAAACGTTAAGTGAAAGCCAATCGAATATAACGTTACTTTAATTTTTTTTTTCTCAAAGCTTTCATTTTTTTTTAAAGTTAATTAATTTGTGGTAATGATTTCAATTAGCAGGAATATTTCACGGGGATGCGTGCCTGATTTTTCACTTCAAACAGGTAACTTAATATCTTTAGAAAAGTTTTTTTTATTTGTATTTTAACATAACATACTTTATCGTCTTCTGAAATTGTTGTGTTGGTTCAAAGCTTTCTGTGGGGCTGTTGCTTTTTATTTTTTTTTTTACAATTGTGATAACGGATATTTATTTACTGGAACAAGTTTATGCAGAATGCGTTTATAATTTTTTTTTACTTCAAACAGCCAGTGTTGTTTGATAAATATGTGCTATGTTTAGAACTGGTTTAGTATTTTTTTGCACCAAGTTTGAAATGTATGTTTTAGCATAAGGAAATTGTTTTGAATCAAGCTGCTTATAAAATAATCCCTTGAAACTAAGACGAATAATTAAAGCATGAATTAACATTAAAACTATAACTAGGTAATACTTAAAACAAAATGTAACATCGTTATTTTAGGTATGAAATTTGTCGCCCCTCGTTATTTTTTATGTAAAATCAAAATAAAATATTGTAAGTTTGTGGTCATTTCAAAAACTCAACTTCAAAACATTTATACATTATCTATACTTGTATCCTCGTATAATATGCAGTATAGTATTTTTTGCTTTGTCGTATAGAGAGTATATAGTCTAGGAAATATTGTAATCGTGCTGAATAAAAAACATATTTTTTGACAGTCATCGCCCTTTTACACCTCCCTCCTTTATCTGATATTTTGTATTCTTACTTTAAATGCTAGGGCTTGTAATGATTACTTATTGGTGATTTGGTATTTAGAGTTAGGACAGGGTAGTCGAAAGAGAGATCGCTCAACTACCAACCCGAACGTCTCGAGTTCGGATCCTCGGACAAGAGGCGAAGCGAGGGGGGGTGGGGGTCGGGGGGTGCGGACCGCACCGGGTGACACCATTTAGGGGGGTGACACCAAGGCAAAAAATAGCAAAATATAGAGAAAAACTTGAGGGGTGTGCAAATCGAAAGTTTGAGGGGGGGGGGGGTCCAAATCGAAAACTTGAGAGGGGGTGCAAACCGAAAATTGAGGGGAGGGGGGGGGTGCAAATCGAAAACTTGAAAGTTTGTCCCCGGGAAGGGCGCTACGCCTCTGGGGGGTGACACCATTAAGTGCCGCACCGGGTGACACCCGACCTCGCTACGCCACTGCCTCGGACGTGTCTGAGTCCACTCAGTTCTGATGAGTACCAAACTTATGTTTGCGAAAGTAGATGCGGCTGGACTTAGTGCTGACCACACTACTAACTCCAAATGCCGAGGTCACCGAAACAGGTGAACTCTACTTCACCTGCCATATATAGCGTAACGTATGAAAAGATACTTAACTTTTTTTATATTTAAAAAAAAACATCACTACACTGAAGTATATTAAAGCTGATTTATTGACGTGATGTTGACATACATTGACATCAAGTGGTTGATAAACTAAATGCTGTTTCTGACGTCAGCCTGTTCAAAAGACTGAAGTGTTTTGACGTATAGCTGACGGTGCGGTTTGGTGTGGTGTGTGGGGGGTGGGGGTTGTTAGGTTTATGTTGTTTGCATTTAGTCGCAGTCAATAGATACCTATCAGGCTATTGATCCCCCTCATAGAACAGGTAAGTGTCGCGCTGGATCTGAAGAGGTTCTTCAAATGTGGGTTGAAAATGTCAGTTCACAAAGTTGTAGCAAATGAGTTTCAATGGAAGAGGAATTAGTAGGACAGGGAACATAGGTAGGGGGGGGGATAATTGGTAGGCGGAGGTAGTATATATATATATATATATATATATATATATATATATATATATATATATATATATATATATATATATATATATATATATATATATATATACATACATATGCGTGTGTGTGTGTGATTGTGTGTGTGAGTGTATATGTGTGTACACGATTGTGTGTGATTGTGTGTGTATTTCTGAGTGTGTGCGGGTGTCTGTTTGTGTGCGTGCGTGTGTGTAGTGTGTGTGTGTGTGTGTACGAGTGTACGTGTGTGTGTGTGTGTGTGCCTGTGCGCGCGCTAGCTACTTGACCAGGACGATGAAATGTGTTATTTTGCGCTTTTATTGATGAGTTGTTGCAATGGGGGTGTAATTGGGCAATGTTTTAACGATAACATTTTCACCTTCGATTTTACATGGTCGAATGGTTTTATTTTTTAAATCAGTATATTATGTCAACATTTTTCTTTCGGACAGCATAGTCACCTGGTTAACTTTTTCTTATCTCCCCCCCCCCCCCCCCACACACACACACTTTTTATTTTCTCTTCAATTACATTTATTTTTTTCCGCCTTAAACATGCACTTTACAGCGTCAGTTTACCTTGCATGTTCGCTTTAGTAATACAGTTTTCATCATCCTTGTGAGGACTGATACAGATTTACTATAGTAATACTTTTTTCTTACTTGTAGCCTACTTTCATTCATCTAAGAATTTACAAATTTTAAGCATCCGGAAAAGTTATGTTGATTACAATAGTTTTTTGGTTTTTTTTTTTCTAATTTTTTTTGTTTTTTTTTTAGCGCAATTTCCATTGCGTTTATTAACTCGTCTTTTCTGGGAATGGATGAATGGATGGATGGATGTGTGTCCGCAGGTTTAAGTCGTATCTCCTCCTCAACGAAGCAATATCGAGGACTAGTTCCAAAAGCAAATACGTTAAGCAAGTTACCAGGATGAACATAGGCCAAAAAAAATTCCGGGTTTCTTTCATGGATTTCCCGGAAAAGCCAAAAAAACTCGAAAAAGTGCAGTTTTTGGCCCATATCTCGGCAACCAGACCACTTAGCGACTTGAAACATGTACCAATCGATTCCTGCCATAATTTAGAACAATATTGTTTTCAAAAATATCCTTTCGTTCGGTCACAAATTTTTTTTTGAATTAATTAAAATTTGGACCGAATTAGTAGGCATTTTATCCAACCACACCACACGCGTCATCACGTTCAATAGCTGCGTCATCACGTTCAATGGCTGCAACATCACGTTCGGTAGCTAGGCGCGCAACGGTTTTTAGTCATGTTACTCTATTGTAAATAAAACATGTAAAATACTGAATTTTATTTTAATAAAAAACGTTTTAATAACTAACCAATGGTTTTACTAACCCTGCTCTTGATTTACGCTACGACAGAGCTATTTTTAGATAACATAAGGAAATTGCGCTAAAATTGTCACTAGACTTTTTTAATTACTTGTTTTTTTAATACTTTTATTTGCAATTAAAACAAGTACATCAACAACAAATTTTTTAACATAATTTTGAACATCAAATGAAAACGAAAGGTTTTGCAAATGTAAATAATGAATATTTACATGATGTCATGTATTTGATTATAAAAAATTGCAAAGGATGACAGTAAAAGGGGTGAAGGTCAAATGAAAGTGTCAGAAGTCTGGGTGGGGAGAGGAAAGGAAATTTTTCAGAGAGTGTCAATGGGACAGTGAAGCATTTTCTATGTAGGGAAACAACTTAAGTTGACTAGTTGAAAGGGTGTTGTAGTGGTCGCATTGAGTTTTCATTTTTTTTTTTTTGATTGAATGTTAACTTTATAATATATAGTAAAAAAAACAAAGTTCTATTGCATACAATGATATATTTTACTTATTAAATTGCTCTCATCAATAGCTTTCATGCCAATGTAATCATCTATTATTGTTCTCAACGCAACTTATTATCACAATCATAAACTTAGACTCTGTTAACAATTGTCAATTTTTATAACATCTGCTGGGCTCTCTGCTTCTTGCATACACATTATCAGTCAATTACAAAACAAGATCTAATGCTTCATGTACCAACAGCTATAAATGACAAACTCAGCTTTATACAGCACACTACCATAATTTGAACACCTAAGCATTAAGCGTACATTATTCTTCAATTGGATCTCCCCATATGTTGTTCGGTTTTTTTTGGGGGGTGCTTGGTAAGGAGGTGGTTCCATCCTGATGTCTGTTTCTCTATTGTCTGGCTGAGCTCTATCACCAGAGTCAGGCCATGTTTTCTGTGAACCAGGTGGTGGTACCTGCTGCTTCTTATAATCTTCGTGCTCTTGGCGGTTCCTTCGCCGCAGCTCATCATAAGTAATAGTGTTCTTCTCTTGTGGAGATACATCAACATCTCTATCGACACTAGGACGAAATCTGTCATCTAGACCATCCACAGGTTTATATTCTTCTAGCTTAGAATGCCTGTTACTTCTACCTGCACCCTCCTCCCATGTATCAACCTGTTGTTCTGGGTCAGGCAAACCCTTTGACTTCCTGATAGCAGCTGCCAAGTTGGAGTTAGGCAATTTAGTTAGAATTTTCTGCTGACAAACAGGCAGGTACATCACTTTACCAATAAAATGGCCAACAAAACCAGCAATAATGACTTTAGGTATAGGTCCATATTTTGGATGTGCAGCCCATCTTCCACTTTTCACCATCATGAAGGCAGCAGACATGGCACCAACTGATGCAGGTAGAGCTCTGTTGTAAAAGCTGTCTCTTTCACATTCTTTCATAATCATTCTTTCTTCATCTGTTAACATTGCCAAAACGTTTTGAGCTTCATCGTGTCTTGAAGTCCCTTGTGTCTCAATGGGGTAATTTAAATGTTGTCTGTCAAGAGGAGGTAGTGGATCTGGCAAATGCGGTCCAGAAGACATTGCTAATTTTTTGTAAAGTTCAGATTAGACTGTTCGTCGTTCTTCAATATCAACAGAGAGTGTGGAATTATGTATTTATTTGTTAAAAATTATAATGATATTGTTTGTTTTTAATATTAGTAAAGTTATGTGTATTAAATTTTAGCTATACATAAAATAATCAGTAATCAAAAGGCCGTAATGCTAATAATATGTAAAATAACAAAAAATAACATAATATGTAGTTCTAATAACTGCTAGATTTTAAAAAATTATTTACGACTTTTAGTTACATAATAAAAGGTTACTTCCCTTATAAATGTTTTTCCCCTATTTTATTTACGAATCTAAAGTAATTAGGCTAACTCCATTTAAAATTAAATATAAAATTTTTTAAATGGGATAAAATTATACAAAGTTGCAAATACATTTAGGGCAATATATTCTGTCAACCTTGTAGCACACAGTGCGTTCGTCCAGGTTGTTTGCTCGTAACAGCAGACATGGTCAGAGTAGTTTTCCCGCTTTCTGCACTTCTCATTAAAAAAAATGTTAAAATTATAAAATAAATTAAAATAGTGGTTCCTAACTTTTTTCAGAGGTATCTCACCTGACCAAGCTTCTGATGTGCATGCAGTTAGGACTCTTAAGTCCAATCAAGCTCCGTTATACATGTAAATTTTTGTTGTATACATTCTTCTTACCACTTTCATTTAATTAGTAAGAAGGGATCGCTTGAAGGGGTCGCCGCCTCCCCCCCCCCCCAGAGGCGTAGCGAGGGGGGGGGGGCGGGTGGTGCGGACCGCACCGGGTGACACCATTTAGGGGGGGGGGGGGTGACACCAAGGCAAAACATAGCAAAATATATAGAGAAAAACTTGAGGGGGTGCAAATCGAAAGTTTGAGGGGGGGGGGGGTCGCAAATCGAAAATTTGAAAGATTGTCGCTGGTGCCGCACCGGGTGACACCCGACCTCGCTACGCCACTGCCCCCCCCCCCCCCAATTCGAAGCACGTCTACCTCCGCCCCACCGATGTTACTGTTGCAATATGGAACAATTTTTTTTTTATCTGTTTTCGTAATAACCAGTTTAGTTAACTTAGCTTCCCCGACGAGCGCATCCCAATCTCATAGCTAAGTAAAATCTCCACGGTACATGGTTTCTTTCCGACATTTTATTCCGGAGGTTGAATTTCCCGGAGGTTGAGCAATTGAAATTCCTGGGGCGGGGGGGGGGGGGGGGGAGGGGGCGAACACTGATTAAGATCAGAGGCGTAGCGAGGGTGGGGGCGGGGGGTGCGGACCGCACCGGGTGACACCATTTAGGGGGGGGTGACACCAAGGCAAAAAATAGTAAAATATATAGAGAAAAATTTGAGTGGGGGGGTTGCACATCGAATGTTCGAGGGGGGGGGGATGCAAATCGAAAGATCGACGGGGGGGGGGTGGGGGGTGAAAATCGAAAATTGAAAGTTTGTCCCCGGGAAGAGTCGCTACGCCTCTGGGAGGGGGGGGGGGGTGACACCATTTAGTGCCACACCGGGTGACACCCGACCTCGCTACGCCACTGATTAAGATATACATTTCTAAATAAATTTTCTATATTTTTTATTCCGTCTAGGAAGGGCGGTGGGAGTGCTCCATTGGGGGGGGGGGAGGCAGTGCTTCGTCGGCGAGATGCCTAAAAGAAGCCCTGGTACTGAAGACTAGCTATCGGCTGGTCTGACTATAAATTTATTTCATTATCCAAATCGGAGAAACAGATCAACTCTGCTTCATCTGTACTATGTACCTTCAGGTCAGAAAGTAGAGTTATACTTCACAGAAAGAAATATCTTAATCTCTACCTTTGTCTGGATCTGTTCTGTGTATATAATTATTTTTTTTCAACAAGTTCATCTGTACTTGTATCACATTCTAACCAATACTGTATATCGAAATATGTGTACACGATACCAGCATTCGAGTTGAGTAGATAATTGTATAACGATACTTTAAAAACGATACCAGTGTTCGTCTTATACGACACTAGAACAACATAAAAGTTCATTAAGGTCACACGCAGATATTAGCCAGCTTATCTGCGAGTGGATGAGCACTTGAAGGCAATTGATTTGAAAAGAAGAGGAGTTGAACAAACACAGGACTGAGTGGGGCCCCTGTTGTTGACGGCTTGTTGTCACGTGATGAAATGGGAAGATGACTCGCAGGTGTCGGGTAAATACATATACCGTCGCTAGTTCTTGTCCTTGTTTTGGTTAAGTGTTGTTCTATTTTTAGACATTCGTTTTCAGTTATTGTTTGGTTTTTTTTTTTTTCTTTTTTTTTTTTTTTTATGTATGTAGTAGAATGAAAAACGTATTTTTAACCTTTCTCTTAATTTCTTTGTATGTGTAGTTGTGGGAACGGTGTGGTTGAGCGAGAGAGCATTTCATTGTTAACTTCAAAAGTCCCGAGTTCGGATCCCACAGGTAGATGAAGCTTATTACCTGGGAACAGGAAACCCATCTAGGAGAGACAACTCCAAAATCAAACAACTGCTGCCTTGTAGTTATGTCTTGGATGGACAAAGGAAGCATTAATCTTCACACAAAAAACGCAGGCTGAAATCGAAGTCAGCGGCCTAAATGGCGCATAACCAGTTGACACGTAATCCTTAATTGTGTTGAAGGGGCACATGTCCGATAGTACAATTAAGAATGTAAAAGAAGTAAGTCGTTAATGTAAGTCGTCCCATCTCCCACTCTCCTTGTCGTGATCGTCATTCTGTCCTTAAAATATTTTTGTAACTCTAATTAAACCATACATTGAACTGTCAAAAAAATAATTTACCCTATATATTTTTTTTTCGTCTTGGTGTAACTCCCCCCCCCCCTAACTGGTGTCACCCGGTGCGATCCGCACCCCCGCGCCCCCGCCTCGCGCCCCTCTGCTTCTACTGCCACTGACTTAGATCAGAGATTTCCGACTGTGGTTTACGTGTAAGACCTTCTCTGCCTGCCTTACCTATCGTCGCTAAGCAGTTATGACATCTAACACTTATCGTGTATGATGTGAAGGTTTTTATTTCTATTTTTAGATATATATGGTTAATAGGGCAGAGGAGGTAGAGTTAATATTTTTCTGTGACTTCTGTAAATAAAGGGATAGTGTTGGATACCTGACTTACACGAATGGAAATATCCTGGATCCGAACTCGAGACGTTTGCGGTTAGTTCGCACTACCATCAGACCCCGCCGTACCGTGAGCATAATTAAATGTATAAGTTGCATAAAAAGTACTTTTGGCTACAATTTAGTAAAACATGGCATAATTTAGATTAAAAAAACAACTCGGGTTATTTTTGGAAGATGATCGTGTTAATTAATGCAGCCCCTTGTTATAAAAGTTTGTCACTATCTAAAGAAAACATTAGTGTTTGTTTTTTCTCTTAGCTGATGATAAGACGCTGATGTCATTGGTCGTATGACTGTCTTGTTAGCTTTTGTGTTAGTTACACTTTGTGACTTAAACTTTGTTACATTTAGAGACGTTTGCTCTCTTCTTTACAGGGGGTCGGGGGTTGGAGTATGGTGTATAGTGTCGTGGTATTGGGGTGTTTAGGATTAGGGGATGTAGAGGGTTGGGGTGGGTAAGGTAGGGTAGGGTAGGGTCGGGTCGGGTAGGGTAGGGTAGGGTAGGGTAGGGCAGGGTAGGGTAGGGTAGGGTAGGGTAGGGCAGGGCAGGGCAGGGCAGGGTAGGGTAGGGTAGGGTAGGGTAGGGTAGGGTAGGGTAGGGTAGGGTAGGGTAGGGTAGGGTAGGGTAGGGTAGGGTAGGGTAGGGTAGGGTAGGGTAGGGTAGGGTAGGGTAGGGCAGGGCAGGGCAGGGTAGGGTAGGTTAGGGTAGGGTAGGGAAGGGTAGGGCAGGGCAGGGTAGGGTAGGGTAGGGTAGGTTAGGGTAGGGTAGGGTAGGGTAGGGCAATGTAGGGTTAGGTTGGGTTATGTATTTAGTATTTATGTGGTGAGGGATAGAAGTGAGGTGTTGTTGGTTAGTGTGGGGTTTGGGTAGGGGTAAAGGTAGGGGTATTTACAACGTATAAACTATATGACTGCCAACTTTTCAACAAAGAGGCCAAGGAAGATGAACAACTTTTTGACCTCACTTATAGGAAATCATGCCAATACAGATTGTTCTATTTGTTTCTAAACTTAAAACCGTAACCATACCACTTATGGCCACTTTATGCCTCTTATAGAATATAGGTTTTTGGTTGAATTCAGGCAGAAATAAATATAAGAGGTTTTTTTTTTTTTTGTTTTTTTTTTTTTGTTTTTTTCAAACTGGCAGATCTTGAAACAATTACACGTTTTGACCACTGGCCTTAGTCCAAATATACAAAGAAGAAGAAAACAAAAACATAACAATAGTTATACTTTCGCGACCGAAAAAAAAACGCATTTCACTTTGCGTTTGCAAATTCATTTTTAAATAATTAATTCAGTGCTTCTTAACCTTAATGGAGGTACCAAACCCCACCAGTTTCGTACGTGCATTCACTGAACCCTTATTAATACTTATATATTCCGTGCTGACAAAATCCGATGGTGAATCTAATGTCGGGTGTGGGTCTTGACCTCCCCCGAACCCCTGAGACTGACTGAACCCTGGGGTTCAATTGAACCCAGGTTAAGAACCACTGAACTAATTAATTGTCGTTTCAAAATTTGATTTTAAAAAACTTTAACTATTACCTGCGCTTGTGAAAATAATTTCGTTTGTTTTAAAATACGAGTTGATGTCATACAAATGTTTAACAGGTACTTTTATGATAAGCGCAGATAAAGTAATGCTTTAATATGTACTTAACGCAATATTAACCCACACACATCCCAAACACTTTGTCTTTAAACCATAAACTAAACGCAGAATGTAAAGGTATTATACAACTAACCATAACAACGATAACAATAGACATAACAAGTATGCATGAAACAGCCAATAAAAAAAAATTACACTTGGAACTAAAGCTATAATTCTCTTATCACTACACAAAAAGTCTTGAAAAAT